ATGAAATATTATATATGATATTCAACAGTTTGCATTTCTATATTTACTACTGATTATTATATTTTATGCCAATTATAATAAAATCATAATAATAAACAGTGTTATAATAAATACAATTCAAAATTATATTTATCATACTCAGACTTATGCATATAATATTTAATTATCACTATAATTATTTAACTTTTAACTCTTTATAAAATATTTCCAACTATTAAGTATCTTGAATAGTGGTATAGAGTAAGCAAAAAGTATGAAATATGTCATACATAGTTATACTGCATTTTCTTGCAGGAATACATTATCAGAAAAATATAAGTGAAAAGCTAATTTTTTAAAGTTCTACAGTAAATATATTATATGGTTAAATAACTAAACACTTCATCCACTACAATGTTCAGGCTTTAATTAATCTGAATTATATAAACAATTGTTGTCTTACATAAATATTTAATAAACATTACAAACTGAATATACAAAAACTGTTATTTTCTACTTTCTCAAGATAATATACTTTATGATAAATAATATAACATTTTTGCGATTGTAACAGTTAATACAGTTTATATATTTTAAATAAAAACCTAAAATATATATATATATATATAATCTCTTAACCAATGAGCTTTATCAAGAACTATTTCATATTTTGGTATTAAAATTGTCACAATAAATTTATAATTAAATGTACTTTTATTATTTGTTTCATAGTAAAACTATAAGCACATACCTACTTAAAATCATTTTCATTTTTACATTAGTATATTAAATCAGAAATAAATAGATAGATTCGAAATCTATATATAAATTATAGTTTGCATTTATCAACAACAATAAGAAATTGGAGACAGCATGAATAGGATAAAAACATTAAACCAGATGAAGATTGCAGTGAAAGAGGAAATACAAAGACTGAGACACTCATATCATGAAATTGACTATTTGGAAGAAAGAAATGAATTATAAAAAAAATGAAAAAAAAGATCGAATATATCTTTAAACAAGAAAGTTAAATATAAAAGACAAAATATAATAAATGGTACAAAGAAGTAAATAAAGAAAAGAAAACTGCAATGTATTTGCAGAAAAAAAATGACCAAATGAGATGAACAGAAAATATCAGTAAGATGGTTGTAAAAAATTACTTGAATGGGAACAAAGATTGGAAAGACTCAGAAGAAAGTGAAGATTATGCACGGAATAAGAGAAATTATGGAAAGTATCTACACAGAATGCATCAAAAGAAGTTTGAATAGAGAAAATATAGATAACTGGTGGAAGGGAAGAGATAAAGGGATGGCTAAACAAAAATGTAGGGAATTAAGGAGATAAAGAGACTGAGGAAAAAGATGAAAGAGAAAGCAGCATAAAAATGTCACAAAAAACAAGAAGAAAAACAGGTGGAAAGGAAGTTTGAAAAGAACAAGAAAATAGAAGGGATCATAATCTTAATTTTAAATTAAATTTCAAAATTACTTAATATTAAACAGTTATTAGAAAGATTTATATATCTATTTAATATATAATTTTGTTAAGGATTTTATAAATTTGTTTAACAACATCTGGTAACCCCAATCTATACACTATCACTCAGGTAGTGGAATACATTTTTCATTCTGTTCTATGCTTTTTATAATCATTCTTTTTACCTTGGATGGTTCTACAGAAATATGTTTAGAAACCACTTGGTTCAGGAAACACTCAAAAAATCATGCATAACAAAAAGTGAAATCACAGTAACATAACTGTAAGTTCAGATGACAATGAAAATTACTTTACAGCTCAGAAAATTTTACTTTTTGTAGTAATTGCATTTTACTGAAAACATACATTACTTTTCAAAACACCTTTAAAGTAAGATCAAACTTACGTTTCCAAACGTATCTTCTTTAATGCTACCAACTTTCCAGTCTCTTTATCTCTGGCTTTATACACTACACCATAAGTTCCTTCTCCAATTTTTTCTATCTTTTGAAAGTTTTCCATTCTTATGAGTTCATGAGTTGACTCACTACTAAGATCTATGATGAATAAAAAATAATAAACAAATATTTGAATTTTTAAATTACACTTGTAAAAAAAATATTAAAACTGAATGCAGTACTAGTATTATAAGAACTGACAAATCCCTTAAATTAAGTTACAACATGAACAAAAAACTTAGTTTTTGACTCAAAATGTCACTTATGAGAAATTTTCAAGGACTCTTAGGTTTAGCAATAGTTTATATAACAGTGTTGAGGTTAGTCCAATCAAAATTATATTTATAATTCAAATTATAATATCCCACATGCATTACCTTGTATTTATTATAGTTAAATGACATCTGCCATTTATTCGCCCAACTCATTAAATGATCCAAATCCTTTTGTAAAGCAGCATCCTCCTCACACTCAGTGATACCTAAAACCTCAATATCATCAGAAAATTTAAATAATTTATTGGCCATTCCTTCATCTACATCACTGATGTAAGGCAAAAAAGACCAAAACACATAAAACTGAGCCCTGAGGTATCACATTCATGAAATTAATTCAGTTTAACTGAACTCCATTTAAGCCAGTTTTCTGTTCAACAAGCCAACCTATCCCCCAAATCTAAAGAAATAAATTTCTTAATAAGCCTTTTATGTGGCATCTTGTCAAATGCTTTCTGAAAACTCCTGATACACTAAATTCACACCCATACCCTCATCTACATACAAGTACAAAGAACATCATAAAATTAGTACAGCAAGTTTTCTCTAGTGAAACCATATATCATTTTTGAAACTATTTAAAAACAATTTCTATCTAATTCATAGATGTATGTTATAATTAGTTGGTACGACTGCCTATATCATTGGTGACATTTTGTTTCAGGAAAATAAAATACAAATTGCTTGTTCATCAGCTGTTAATTAAGATATTAATATTATTACTAGCTTTAACTTTCACACAAATTTAAGTTTCCTCAAATTCCTGCTTTAGGCTATACATTATTATTTCATACACATTAATGATTAAATAAGTTAAAACTAAAAGTTATAAAACTACTTAGTTATCATGATACATTATTATTAATAATAGTTGTTAGGTATTTAGTTACAAATAATTGAAATATAACTATAACTAAGTCTTTTAATAGTTTTATAACTTATAAGTTATACAAAATTACAAGTTATACTTAAGTTATAGTACTAAAGTTAATATAAGTTTGTAACTATATAAGGACTTGGGATTTACAAGATTTCACAGTAATCTTGGGCCTATAAGTTTTCTTTTGTTGTTTTTAATACAATGGCAAGGTTACTGTTATCCTTTCCTTATCGTTGTAATTTTGTACATAACTTTACTTATAAATTCAATTCAGTTATTTACTTAGTACTGTAGTGTATACATAGTCAGCATTACACGTAGGTTACGCGCGCGTCTTGACAACACAAAGTTTCCCGCTATTCACGCATCACTCAGATCTACCAATTGCATGTTCTTATTCACTTATGACAAACAAAAAATATTAGAAATTTCGTAAAAAAAAAAATTGATAAGTATTACGAATCGTTCATCAATACAACTAAAAACCAGTAACAAATCTTCGTCCCAACGTTCCGCTGCAATAATAGCCCAATATTGTGAACAAATTTATCACTTAATAAAATTATTACATTGAAAAGTTAGGAATTAAAAATTTTTTCTTAAAAATTCAAAATGTATCCTCTTCTCCAGTTTACATTAATCACTGAAAAATAAAAATATATTATAAATATTTAAAATTTTAAGATACATAAATACTTTAATTCTCTAAATCTTTGTGTAATTTGGTGTTAGAGTTCTTATAAATAAACTCCATTGTATAATGACTGTTTATCAACACTTGCTTGAACAACAGTTAACGTTTGTTTGTTTAATACAAAGCTACCAAAATAGGAATCGAACTCCGGACTTTAGCATTTTCATATCCTTGAACTACAGAAGAAAAAAATCTCATTGTTCTCATCTGTCAGTCTCTTAAGCCATCCAAGTGTGGTATGTTCAAGAATCAGTTCAACTGAATATGCGTTCAGCTTATCAGATAGGTCCACTAAATAAATTTTATGTGATGACTCTAAGTAATTTCTCTAGAATTTATTTAGTCAAGACCAGATTCTAGAAATAGACTTACTATTATCTGGTGTGTTATTCCAAACCTATTTGATAATGGTTGATAGATGTTAGAACTATCAGCTGTGAGGTTGCTTAATGCTGTTTAAAATTGCCCTTTTAAACAAATAAGATGGATAGCTTCTATTTCAAACGGAACCAAACATGCTTTCCATAGTTCCTTTCCATTGTATTTGTTAGTGTCTTGGTTGTCTCGCTTAATTATGTACCTTGGTAAGGTAATAGTGTAGCTGAAGTAGTCCATGAAGTTTCTGTGGTCGTAGATGGTACAGTAGTAGTAGTAGTAAAATCTATAAACAAAATGGGCTCTCCTCTTCCATATTTCATCACTTAAAGTGTTTGAAGATGCAATTCTTCGATGGATTCAGAGAGAGAGAGGTGTGGCTGGTTTGAACCTTGCATATGCAAGTTCATTTTCCAGATGTCTTTACCTCTTACTGATATTTTTTCTACCTTGTTGATTGTGTGTGTGTGTGTGTTTATGATCTCTATGCAGTTCATTGATGTATTTTTTTTCAACCGATAATTTGCTGCTATTATGGTCTTCCTTTAAATTCTATGTCTATTTCTTTTAATTGCTCTCTCAAATTCATGTCTCGTTTTTCTTGGTTTGCTTTTAATTTTCTATCTGTTTCTTCTAATTTTATATGTCTTCCTTCTTGTTCTTTGTCTCTTTCTTCCTTGTTTTATTTTAAATTTATCTTTCTTCTTAATCAACTTTCCGATATTTCATCATCTTTAACATATTTTCATTTTCATTTTGAACATGCTTTTTTCATCCCGAAGATCAGTTTGATTCTATTTTACTTTTACCAAAATAATCCCGCTCTTGACATTATTGTTTTAAGAAATAGTTTAAAACAGTATTATAATTCATCATTGAAGCTATTCTTGAAAAGGTTGTGCATATTTGTCATAGGCAAATGTCATGAGGTGAAACATGTTTGTCTAGTGCAAGAATAAAATACTGCATATACAGAGTCAATTCGCAGTTTGTATTTCTTATTTATTTCACTGGATTTAAAGACGAAAACTAGGGATTTTTAAGACCAGCTTGAAGATAAATGAGAAACAAAATGTCAAATTTCACTCTCTTTTAGCCCAGCAAAGTAAACATTTTCTTTTGCACTCGGATTATTGTAATTTTCCTACTTACATGTGTCTGACGCGTGATTGCGTTCATCAGTCAGTTATACCACCTATGGAATGTCACAGCCATATACCACACATTGTTCAGGGTCATTCCATTTTTGTGTTATGGTAAACTCTCCCACGGAAGAGGTATCATGAGTAAGTAACCCAATATATATGTCCTCTAGTTTCGTTAAAGGCTTAGAGGTATACCTGGAAGCTGTCTTTTCTCTATTTTTATTTATAAGATGATCAAATGCACGGGAGGGGAAACTCTATGAAAATTGTAAGAAATATTTATAGTTGTTAATTTTCTCACTTCTACTAAGAATTTCTAAAAATCTTCCTCTCACATTGAACTGTTTGTTTGTTTGTAATTAAGCGCAAAGCTACACAATGGGCTATCTGTGCTCTGCTCACCACGGGTATAAAAACTCGGATTCTAGCGTTGTAAGTCTGAAGACATACTATTGTGCCACTGGGGGCCACATCGAACTGTCGTCAGAGAGAAGTGTTGTGATTCCATTATTTGACTTATTTTGCCTATACAGTGTTGTAGATATGTACTGTTCTTCAAATAAATAAAGAGTTTAACATATTATTTTACCTTTGTGGTGGGTAAGCATATCATGTGTTTTCTAATTCCTTATATTTCGCGTTTGACTCGCAATCTGACGGTCGCGGGTTCGAATCCCCGTCCCACCAAATATGCTCGCCCTTTCTACCGTCGGGGCGTTATACAGTGACGCTCAATCCCCCTATTCATTGATAAAAGAGTAACCCAAGAGTTGGCGGTGGGTGGTGATGACTAGCTTCCTTCCCTCTAGTCTTTCACTGCTAAATTAGGGACGGCTTGCACAGATAGACCTTGTGTAACTTTGCGCGAAATTAAAAAACACGCAAACAAACAAATATACTTTATATTTAATATAGAAGTTTTCAAGACTTTTCATTTATCACGTGTATATAAATTTTTCATATAACACGTTGGTCAGGAAAGTTTTAAATTCCGTTCACTCTAGCTAACCATTGTTTTGTATCATTCACCTAAGATATTACTTTTGTCTTCCTATGGAAAAGGTTTTTGCAAGATTAGCCATGCCATACACGAAAGAAGACAGTAATGTTACGACAGCGGAAATCACGTGACAATAAATGCCAAATTCTGGTTAGTGTTAAAAGAGAGGTTGAACTAACCAGGTACCATCAAACTGAAGTCAGAGTGACTGAAGGAGTTGATGATGGTGAAGTGGAACCAAGTGTAGACATTAAAGCAGAACAGGGGAAAGTCCAAGATTTGAAGCCA